GCGCCACGAACGCCCTGCCTCTCCCTGCGCAGCGCCCCGGGCTGGGGAGGGGAGCACGGCTGCGCCCGCGTAGCCACCCAGACAGACGGCTGACGGACGGACAGCCGGGGGGGATGCGCGCGCCCCCGCACGCAGAGCTGCGGATTGGAGGGGCCCGAGCGCGGGAGGAGGGGGGGGGTCCGAGACGGAAACCCTCGGAGGTCCGGAGGCCTCGGGCCACAGCCTCCTGCGTGGCCTTGGGCAGGTAACCTGCCCTCTCTGGGCCTTCCTTTCCCCAGTTGGGCAGTGAGAGGCAGGCCACGTGCACGGACACTAACAGCCGGGCTCTAGGTTCCAGCGATCCAGGCAGCGCCTCCTCTTTGCTGTGTGACCTTGCCCGCATTCCTTAAGCGTGCTGTGCTGCCTCTTCATCTGGAGAACGGGGTTAAGAATGTGCCCTCCCTTACAATGATGCGAGCGAGGAACCCAGGGAGGTTGTGCATAGAAAACAGGTAGCACCGGGCCTGGCTCGTAGCAGGGGCTCAGCTGGCGTTTATCGACTGACTAGAGGTTGCCCGCTTCTGCCAAGAAAAGGACACAGCAGCCGTTAATCAGATATTTTTCAGTCGCCCACGGTATTTATTGTGCCAGATCCTGGGCTAGGTCCTATTGTCTCAACACAGGGACCCGGAGAGACAGATGGTGCTATCCCTGTTTTACAGATGAAGAAACTGAAGCAGAGAGGTTGAGTCAAGGTCACAGAGCTCGTGAGTGACCCCAGTGACGGAGTCAGGCCTCATGGACCTTCCGGGCTGGTGGAGGTCTTGAACGTGTCTCCTTTCCCAGGGAGAGGTTTGGGCAAGAAGAGACAGGGCAAGCGTCGCCGTGTTGTTGTCATGGCTTGTGACTTAGATGATGAGCACCTGGGTTTCTCCCACCAGCAGTATGACCTCAGGACTGTTAGAATTTCACAGCTCTAAGATGAGCCATCAGCCACCCCGTGCCCGACTGACCTCTCGGAGCAGCGTGAGGGTCCGTGTGAGCCTGTGACTAGGATAGGAAATTATTAGCTAGAGCATTCATGTTCTTTCATCTATGGGCATTAACTGGTATAAGCCAGTCGACCCAGCGTATGCATTGCAAATCATGCCCCTTTCACTCAGAGGTGTCTCAGTTCAGACTCTAAATCATAGCGTTGCCCTACCATCAGCCAGCATGGGGAGGTCTTTGGGGAGAGTGAGGATAAGGGTCTGCTGCCTCTCATACCCCCGGAGTCTGGAAGGGGCAAGAAAGGTTTACACTGAAGTGTGCTTCGGGAAAGGGGCTGGCGGGTTCTGGGCACACCTGCTCACCCAGAGGCCCCTTTCTTTAAGTCCGGCCTCAAGGGCAGGCCAGGGGCTCTCCAGATACAGGAGGAAGGAGCCCTTTGGGCCTGAATGTGAAGGGAAGGAACATTTATTGAACCCTACTGTGTTCGTTTGATGAAGGCTTATATCTAATATCTAATTTGTAATTCTTTCCAACAGCTTGGGAAGACAGGTTTGTGCGTCCCCATTTTGCACCTGAGGAACCTGTCTCAGAGGAGTGAAGTCATATGCCCAAGGCCACACAGAGCACTGAATCTCTGGGCTTTGGAGAGAAGCCAAGAGGGCAAAAGCCAGCAGCTCCTGAATCCAGGAAGGCCCAGGCGGGACCCACTCCTCCCTCCCCCAGGGACTGTCACCTCTTCTCTTACAGGACAGGCTCCGGCTTTGCTGAACAACCCCCTCCCATTGGTACGTGGGTTTCATCGGATCCTTCGGAAGGTCCGGAGAACCACAGGAAGAGGGAATAGAGGGGAGGCATTGGCTTCTTTGGGAAGCCCCACCACAGCCCTTGTTGGAAAAGTCTGGTCTTCGGGGCGCCTGGGTGGCGCAGTCGGTTAAGCGTCCGACTTCAGCCAGGTCACGATCTCGCGGTCCGTGAGTTCCAGCCCCGCGTCGGGCTCTGGGCTGATGGCTCGGAGCCTGGGGCCTGTTTCCGATTCTGTGTCTCCCTCTCTCTCTGCCCCTCCCCCGTTCATGCTCTGTCTCTCTCTGTCCCAAAAATAAATAAACGTTGGAAAAGTCTGGTCTTCATCAAACAAACAAACAAAATCCCAACATCTTCTAGAAGATATTGTCCACATAAGTCAGTCTGCCCACTGAACCCTCAGTCACCCTCAGAACACCAAGCATGTTTGACGTCCCCTGCAGCCGCTGTCCCCTCTCCCCTCTCCCAGAGGAAGTTTGGTTACTACTTGGCAGAAAGACGGCACTTAGGAATCCCAACCAGTAAATAATCTCTCTTTCCTTCTTCCCGCCTCTCTCTCTCTCTCTCTCTCTCTCTCTCTCTCTCTCATTTCTCCTGGTCTCACATCAAACCAGAAGTCTAATGGAGATGTGTGCTGATTTAAGGAAAGTGTTAGATGAAAATGTACTTCCTTTTATTATATACGGAGATATTTTTAAATGCATATAAATAAACATTTTTAATTTGCTGAAACGTTCAGACTGTATCACTGTAGAGCATGTGTTTTGTTACACCAGCGAGTGGCGACTGTAAAAAATGAGGAATCAGGCTGCTGGTCCATCTGGTATGATTCAGAGAAAGTGGCTCTGGTGCGGCCGTGCTGGGACAGGATTGCCCTCCAAAGCCGCCCTCTCCTAGGCCTGCTGTGCTCCCAGGTTCTGCATCCCATTGGCGGGGCACCTCATCCACCAGGAGCCAGGCTGGTTTCCTCGGACAGATCCCCATCACAATCCGTTACACGTGCGTGTGCACACACATACCCTGGGGAGCGGGAGACCCTTTCTATTCCTAGAGCTGGGCTGAGTCCTCCCCTAGAGTGGAGCTGTGGCCCTCTCTGCTCTGCCCACACTGATCTCTTGGCAGTCGATAGGATAGCTCTACAGACTGAGGTTCTCAGCGGGGCATTAGGGGTCTGCAGATGAAATTGCATGCAAAACATAGTGCTGATGGGCATGCTTCTGATTTGCTGGAGGCCATGACCAGGCCATGGGCCTTTGAGGGGCAGGCCAAGCCATATCTGATGTTTGTCTGGAGCCCCAGTCTCCAGCCACCAGCGCCTGCCCCCCAGGGGGAACGGGGACATAAAATTGCTATATACAAAACAGAAGTGACAGCAGCTCCTCACGAGAGAAAAGCTAGAATACCTCTTAGCACTGGGCTGGCTTCTGGGTCTGACAGGACAGGAGGGGTCCCTTTCTTCTTTAAAAAAATTTTTTTAACGTTTATTTATTTTTGAGACAGAGAGAGACAGAGCATGAACGGGGGAGGGTCAGAGAGAGGGAGACACAGAATCTGAAACAGGCTCCAGGCTCTGAGCTGTCAGCACAGAGCCCGATGCGGGACTCGAACTCACGGACCGCGAGATCATGACCTGAGCCGAAGTCGGCCGCTTAACCGACTGAGCCACCCAGGTGCCCCAGGAGGGGTCCCTTTGTTGAGCCACAACACCCCAGGCTCTGGAGGGACCCTCTGAGTGATAGGGAACTCATTACCTCACAAGGCAGCCCATGACACTGCTTGAAAGTCCCTTTAGATAAAGGTTTCCTCTTTTCTGGAGGTTGACAGGTGATCAACCTCACTTGTGGGCCCAACCTAGCCCCCTGACCTTCCACGTGGGCCCCACCTGCCGCTCACCCAGCCTGCCAGGCCCAGCCACCGCCCTCCCGCCAGACAGAGGTTTTCCTGTGGCTGGGGACAGGCTTGCCCTGCCTCAGATCTTCCACACCACCATCTGTCCTCAGCCTTGGGGTGGTGGGGACATTAGGCGGGCCCGCCAGCATCTCACAGTAGGACACAACAGCCCTGTAAGCAGGTGGCTAAAAGACAGCACCTACCCTGTGCTAAATTCTGGATAGGTCAAAGTATTTCATTTCCATTTGACAAACGAGGAGGCTGAGGCTCAGAGAAGCTAAGTAAGTTGTCTGAAGTCTCAGAGCTTGGAGGTAGTCAAGCCAGAGGCCAGGCCATGTGACAAAACGTGCCGTGAACACCGAGTTACAGCTGAAGCATGGCCCTCCAGCTCACAGCACCCCCACACTCCAGAGTGTGTGGTGCTCCCTGGGGTGCTAGCAGGGGCTGGTAGGGGGCTCCTGGGTAGCAAAGCATGGAGAATGCTGGATTAAAGAAAAGTCAAGGGGTTTCTTTGCTGCAGGACATATCAGAGCCTTCGATGTGTTTACGTACCACTCTCGCCCCCAGAAGGGTTGAGTCTGCGGGACTTGCCAAACTTACTTGACCTGAGCCACTTCTTAAATGAGGCCCAGAGAGGAGATGCAGTTACCCCAGGGTCACACAGCAAATATTTGTGAAGGTCAGAATCCACGCGCTGCCAACCACACCTGCCACCAACCTTCCTCCTCTGCTCTTGGAAGCATAGTCCTTTCCCTGGTACTGCCTTGTTCCCAGGCCTTAGATGCCCACCATCTTCGGGGAAGCTGTGCTGTCTCCCAGGCCACCAGCAGGAGGAGGGGGAAGTGCCTGCTGCTCCCAGGGGCTTGTGTGGGGACTGCATTCACCTTGTGCATTGCTGTCACGTGCCCCAGGAGCAAAGGGCAGGCAGGCAGGCTGCACACACTTTTTATGGCTGGGCCACATCCCAGAACGGTAAACAGGGGCAGGCAGCTGGCACCAGAGGCTCCTCAGGAGCGAAGGCCCCAGACTTCTGCCCGCCCCTGGAAGGGAGTTGAGAACAGTAGCTTGTCTCAGGAGTTTAAAAAAATTATATTTTAAGTTCACATTGTTAGTACTCTTTTTTATGAGTATGTTGGTCTTTTTTTGGTCTAACAGCACCTACTAGACCTTTAGGCCTCAATCCAAACATCACCTCCTCCAGGAAGCCTCCCAGACCTTCTGCTATAAGCTGGGAGCCCACTCTGGGCTCCCCGGATGCTCTGTTCCTTTGATGCCCAGGGCATAGCTCCGACTGGGAACTTTTGTGGGTCAAGGAACTTTTGTGGGCTCAGCCAGGCCTGGCACATGGGGGCTCCCAATAAATATCATCTGTTGAAAGAAAAATGTGAGCTGAAAATACTTGAGTAATAAAAAAAAAAACAAAACTGATATATTGGGTCTGATGATTCTGCTTATAAAATGCACTTAAAATTTTACATAGTCTCATGGACTTACTCTAACAATGTCCTCTTTTGATCTTTCAAACACATTTTAAAGGTGACCTTGTTACAGGCCTACAGAGACTGGAGGGGACCGCGCAATTGTTAGGGAAAGGTGAGGACGGTTTATGCTTCTTCAGCCTCTTCCTTTAATGCTGTGTACAATGATTTTTATACTTCTTTTTAAAGAGAAAAAAAATTTATTCTTGAAGCTGCATCCAAGAGATTCCACTCTATGTACAACGCTTGCCCAGCTGTGAGCTCCGCTTGGTCCAGAGGAAGTCCCCCGGGGACTCCCTGGGGCCTGGGCCCTAAGGGACAGCCTAGTGGGGTGACAGAAACTAGGGAGGTGGACGCTGCCCCTCTGGGCCCCCCTGGCTCCCCCCATCTGGAGGCCCCACTGAGAATGCTCGCGGGGGGATGTGGCTCTGTGGTCCAGAGGGGTCGGTCATCAGAGCCTCTTGCTCTGATGACCTGTCTTGTGGGCTTTGCGCTTTGCATCCAGCCTGGACAGGGGTCAGGGCAATTTGCGGGGGGGGGGCAGCCGGAGGGGAGGTTGCAGGAAGAGGCAGGTGTGAGCTGACCGCATCCCTCCCCCTCGGTTCCAGGCTGCAAGCTTTCCATCTTCTCTCAGCTCTGCCCCCTTTCTCCAGAGTCAGTGCACTCCCTCCAGAGGCCTCCCACCCTTGAACCTATGGAAGGGGAGGTGGGACCTAGGGACTTATGGCCCCTCACCTAGCCCTCTGGGGATTGAGACCTCCTACCCTGGGTTCTTTTATCCCCCTGAGGCCTAGAACACAGGAGCTGGAAAGGTCCTTCTCCCACAGGCTCACTGCACAGATGGGCCAAGGGGATGCAAGGGCTGGGTGGGCAACTTGTCCAAGGTTACCTAGAAGGTCAGTGGCAGGGCTGGGACTCAGACCGAGCCTCCTAGGCCTTAACGGGAGCCACATGCCCAGCGTCGGAGTCCCCAGGCCCCCAGCCCGCGGGGCGGGGGCAGGGGGCTATGGCAGATACTCCTCCTTAACAGGCATTGGGGAGGAGGCACCCAAGAGGCTGGCAGAGCTGGGGCCCAGGCCCCCCAGGGACGGCCCAGCTGCGGTGGGGGCCACTTCGTGGGCTGGCGGTGGGGGCTGCTGCTGCTGCTGCTTCTTTTTGTTCACTTTGCGCTCCTTTGCCCGCCGGTTTTGGAACCAGATCTTCACCTGTGGTATCAGAGAGCAGAGATGGGCTAGGTTGGGGGGGCCGGGGGGGGGGGGAGACCAAAAGGCAGAGCGAGAGGGAGAGGGAGGATAGCTGGGCTCTTATTCCTCCACAGGGGGCTTCGGGCCTCCCTCCTGCACCACCACCCAGACTATTCATGGACGCTGAATACATCCTCCCCGTCTACAACCTGCAACCCTAAAGACAACTTTCTCTGTAACCTCCTCTGTCCCCATTTTCTAAGGCCATGCTCTAACACCCCTCCTCCAGGAAGACTTCCTTGCGCTCCCTGGGACTTAAACAGGAATCATCATAGCCTGCTGTAGCCTATAGCTAAGCAGATCCCCTATCCCCCCCGTTGGGGGTCAGGGATAGTGGGGTTTGGGTTTCTGCTATGCTGTGTGACTATGGCCAGAGACTCAACCTCTCTGTTCTCCCTTGACTGAGTCCGTAATCTGCCTGACAGCCTGGAGGCCAGACTCCCAGTACTGCTCCCGTGGTTAAGGTGGGGGTACCCACACACCTGCCGTTCAGTGAGCCCCAGATTGGCGGCCAGCTCTGACTTCCGCCGGATGGTGATGTAACGGCTATAGTGGAACTCCTTTTCCAGCTCCAGGCGCTGGTGGTCGGTGTAGACCACGCGGTACTTGTCTTTGGTCCGGGTCTTACCTGAGAAGCAGAGGGGCCAGGAGACGTGGTGAGTGGGTGGGTGGGGCCTGTAAAAGGCCCAGGCAGGGCCCCGTGAAGGGAGAAATCCAGGCCCCCAAGGGAGAACCCTGAGGTGGGGAGGGACACACACCGAGGCCTGGGGTAACAATTACTCCCCCAGCGTCAGGCTTGGAGACCCCCAACCTGAGAGGCAGGCACTGCTCTCATGCCCATTTGGGGAGGCACTGAGGCTCAGAGAAGAGAAGCAACTCACTCAGGGTTACACAGCAAGCTGCTGGTGGAGCTGGGGTTTCAATCTGGCTCCTCTGACCCTACTGTGATCGCCAGCTCCACCAGCTCTAACCCAGCAGTTTCCAGATGCCGCCGTGCAATGGACACTTGGGGAGCTTGTGGAAAACACAGCTTCCCGGCCATCCCTGACCCTGTGAACTGGAAAGCCTGGCGATAGAGTCTGCATTTTTAGCAAGCCCCCCTGGTGGTTCTGATTCAGGATCCTGAGACCACAGGCACTCACACCGGCGACACAGAGGGTCACCTGGCAGGCCAGGCCAGATGGAGACTAATGACGAGTCAGCTGCCCCTCTTTCCAGCGCATGAGAAGAGAGTGGGGAAGAGCGACCAAAGATAGAGGCAGAAGCTTGCCGCACCGTCCTGGGGTGGGCGCTCCTCAATTTCCGTCAGACCCCTGGCGGCTGCTGGCCCCGAGACCAAACAGAAAGCACTGAGACAGCTGGTGGCCCTGAGGACCTGTCAGGTACCTCAAAAGGCCCTGGCCCTAGACACCAAGTCCCAAGCTGGGGTTGGTCTGCCCAGAGCCATCCACCCTGCCGCTTCTTCTGCGGGCACAGAGCAGTGACTCAGGCTCAGGCTACAAATATTTACTGAGCTCCTGCTGTGGGCCAACCACTGGGGTATACCAGTAAGCAAAACTAAAAAAAAAAAAAAAAAAAAAAAAAATCCCTTCTCACAGTGAAATTAGGTTCTAGTGGAGGGAGCTAGACCAAAATAATTTGATATGTTAATACTACATATATGATATGTTAATTGATAGGTATTCCAGAGAAAAAGAAGGCAGGACGAGAGGACTGGGAATTTGGGGAGGAGAGAGTATGTGATTTTATTTTATTTTTTTTAATTTTTTTTTTCAACGTTTATTTATTTTTGGGACAGAGAGAGATAGAGCATGAACGGGGGAGGGGCAGAGAGAGAGGGAGACACAGAATCGGAAACAGGCTCCAGGCTCTGAGCCATCAGCCCAGAGCCCGCCGCGGGGCTCGAACTCACAGACCGCGAGATCGTGACCTGGCTGAAGTCGGACGCTTAACCGACTGCGCCACCCAGGTGCCCCGAGAGTATGTGATTTTAAATAGAGTAGTCCATGAAGGTCTTACTGAGAAGGGGAATTTAAGCAAAGATCTAAAGGAGGCGAGGGAAATAGCCATGCAGGTGTCTGGGGAAGAGGGTTCCAGGTGCAGGGAACAGCAAGTGCAAAGGCCCCGTGGTAGGTGCATGCCTGACATCTGACATGTGTGAGGAACAGTGAGGAGGCTGGCATAGCCAGAGTGCCGTGAGCCAGGACAGAAGGGCAGGCTATCCAGAACCTTACCGGCCATGAAAAGGACTCTGGGTTTTACTCTGTCTGGGATGGGAGCCATTGCAGGGTTCTGAGCCCAGGAGACAGGAAGTCTGATGTAGGTTTCAATATGACTTTGGCTGCTGCATGGAGGACAGATTGGCAAGAGGATGGGGGAAGCACAGATAGTCCCGCAATAACCCAGGAGAGAAGGATGTGGCTTGGCTTCTCTACAGGGCTCAGCCTGGGGCCAAGAGCTGGACTTGAGGACCGACTGGGGTTAATGTCAGGGCTCTCTTTGGGGCTGGGATCAGAGGTCTGTCTGGAGAGAATATTAAGAGTCATGCTTGGCCTGGGCTGGTGCGGGGGCCTGACTAAACACCAGCTTCCTTCGTAAGAAGCTGAGAACTTGGCTATAAATAGGAGGCACACGCAAGCACTTTCAGGCCCACACGTGTGTCCCACCAGGGTATGGCGGGTCTTGGAATCACCATCGACCCTGCTCCACCTTACCCAGTTACCCCCACACAGCCTGGCCTTTCCCCCGCCCGGGGTCACAGCTCTGGCTTTGCCTGTCCCTCAGCATCCCTGTGCTAACCACCCACCCCTCTTCCAGCTCCCGCCCCACTACTAAGCCCACGCAGCTTGGCAGGACGGCCACCGGGCTCCCCAAGAGCCAAATGGTTTTGTGGAAAATGGGAGACAGCAGATGTTTCTGGGCTTTTTTCCTTGGGTTTCCTGCCAGAGCAGCAGAACCGCACTGGACGCTTCCACATCCACTGACCTCAGCCCACCGCCTGATGTAGCACGGGACAACTTCGGCCCTCGGCCAGGTCTGGCCCAGGAAAGGGACAAGGGAGTGGCTGCTGAGGCCTTGGCTCCAGATGGGCCCTTCCTTGGCCTAGAAAATTCAACGCCAACTCAAAAACAGTTCTGCCTAATGCCACCACCCCCAGAGCCCAACAGAGCTCTGCATCTTCGCTGGGCTAACGCCAGAAGGGCTCGATTTAGTCTCCTCCCATTTTACGGATGAAGAGACTGAGGGAGGGTTCCAGCAGGTTATACAACTGCTGGAGGTCCAAATAATAGAGACCTCGTGAGTCCTTCTAGTTCAACGTCCCTGGACAGTCGGGGTCACTGAAGCCCCCTGCAAGTGTGGACTTGCCCAAGGCCATGTCATCTGGTCTAGAGTCCCACTCCTTGCTCCTGGCACAACTCCCCACCCCGTCAGGCTTAGGGTCCACAGAGCCCCCCAAGAGGCCCCCTAATCCTGGGCAGGAGACGCTCAAAGAGCAGACCACTGTTATACTTGTACTTCTGGGAAGGAAGGGGCCAGATCATGGTGAGGGCAGGCCCCCGAGAGCCCTGGGCTGGGGCTGGATGGTCCACAGGCTGGGTGGGCCCTTGAAAATTCCCAGAACACTCACAGCCTGAAGTGGGGCTGTAAGGCTCCCTTCCCACCCAAACAGCCTGAGATTACAAGCAGCGCTTACAAAGACACCCTTTTCCTCAGGCACCCAGGGCTCCTTCCCATTTTTTCTGATGAGGAAGCGGGGATCCATCACACCCAGTTTCGTAATGGGGGAGAAACTGGGGCTCAGAAGGGGGGCATCTTTGCCGAGGGCCATCCTGCCTGGTAGTGGTATAAACCCTGGGCTCTGGCCACCCAAACCGTAGCTTGACTCATCCCAGATTTGAGGAGGGGGGTACCAGATAGGAGATAGGGCTCTAGCCGCGTAATTATCTCTTGCTGTTCCTGCCAGGGCAGACCCAGCCCCCAGACCCTGTCGCCTCCTGTCTGGGCCCAGGAGATGGGGCTGGTAGGCTCAGGAACCACTGGCCAACCTCTATCTGGTGAAGCTCTCAAAGCACACCATTTTACTGCTAAGAAAATGGCTCTGCCGAAGAACAAAACATTTGGTATCACACTGTGGTCCGGGAACCAACAGATCCCATATGCTGTCCACGGAGTAATAACTGGAACATTCTCCTTGGAGCCCAACTTGGTACTATCTAGCCTCATTTAACACACACCCTTCAAGCCATTAATCCCAATTCCTGGAATTGATCTCACAGAAAAAGTGCCCAAAGCTATGGCTGTTTTGAAAGGCACAAGAGTAAAAACTGTACATGTCTACACGTAGGGAACTTGCTAAATAAGAGATGGTACGTCCACGAAGAGGAACACTATACTGGGGTGTCTGGGGGGCTCAGGTGGCTGAGCGTCTGACTTCGGCTCAGGTCGTGATCTCGTGGTCTGTGAGTTCGAGCCCCGCATCGGGCTCTGTGCTGACAGCTTAGAGCCTGGAGCCTGCTTCGAGTTCTGTGTTTCCCTCTCTCTCTGCTCCTCCCCTGCTCA